GAAGAAAAAAATAGAAGAATAAATTGAAAGGGAGAGAGAGAAAGTTGGAGGGGTGGGGTGGCATGAGAGGCAACTGGAAAGTACAGAGATGGTGGAATGATGTTGGATGAAAATCGTTGAGGCATCATCCTGTGAAGAAGAAGACGCCTTGCTTTTTTTTATATTGTTAGTTAATTTTTTTTTTTGGTTTCTTTATTAATTAATGTCAAGGGTCAATAAAGCAAAAAAATGTATTTTTTCAGGAAAAAGAAAAAGGAAAATGTTATTTGGGCATCTTCACGCACCCATGGAAAGTGAAGAACACTTTTTTTGCCACATCAGTATTTTGTGCTTAATAGATACACGTTTTGAATATTTTAGGTGTTCAATAGGTACTAGCTTTAGTTAAGGTGTCTAAGTGAATTATGCGGACAACTTTAATGGGCTGCAGATGACTTAGGCCTAATATATATGTGGTAGGCTGGTAGCTTTCGCTTTCGGGAAGTTGATTTGTCTAATTTATGAAGTAAAATCGAGTTTGATTAAATTAATAATTAAAATTTATAAAATATTTAAAATCTATACGAATAATATTGTAAGTTGTAAATTTTTCTCATGTCAGTATGACGAGAATATATTTTATAAAAATATTTATCAAAGTTCACATAGTTTAAGTCTCGAAAAAATAAAAGTGTTACAGAAATTGAAACATGAGGATTAGTAACATATGATATAGTAAAATGTACATAAAATCTTTATAAAACCATTTCCTTTTCTATTTAATTAGATATAATTTGTGATAGGAAATCATGATTCTCGCTAAGGGAAATCATGATTCACGAATAAAATATTTTTCCTTTTATCTTACATCATATCTCGTATTTCTATATATTTTCATTCGTTGAGAATTGAATTACATCGTATTTTAATCAATATTTTAAAATATAGTTACACAAGAAGATAAGCAACTTGCAATTTAATTGACTAGTATCTGGCCTGAGTTGATTCATCAATTATCTGAATATATTTCAGGTATATATTGATTTGTGATTTTGGTTTTGTATTCAATCCTTCTGACGTTATAGCTAAGACAAAAAAAAAATAGATATTTTCTTTAATTTGTCATTATTCATTTAAAAATCTCAAAATAACTAAACTAGTATATATTATATGCTCATATGTCATGTTTCATTTTTTGTTATAATGTATTTGACTGATAAATTTTGCCAATAATATTGGAGCAGCTCTTATAAGGACACCTTATATTATTTTAAGAAGTCATAAAACCCTTTTATAACTATACTAGAATCTTATCTCGTGTTATATAAGAAAAATAAAATTATTTTTTTCTTATGTAAGTACATTATAGAACTATGACATTAGAAAATAGTAATATTTTTACTTATCTTTTAGCGTGACTCAAGATATTATCAAGAAAGAATTTTTTCTATTATTTATCTTATTTCCGAAACGAAATCAAACTATATGTAATTTTTATTATATGTGTAGTTGATGTACGAAAACATGAAGAAAAGGATAGAAGAAGTGATTGAGAGGGGAAAAGTGGGTGAAGATTTTATTGACAATGAGGAAGAGCTTCAAGCTTTTACCAAATATTGGACGCTTGGATTTACTCGTGATAATCATCCTTCTATTATTCAGGTAAATATATATATATATATATATATATATATTGTAGTTGTTCAATTGACTCGTAATATTATCATATTGAACTTAATTCTATATGATTTTAAAATCTGTCAATATAAGACTTGTCTAGGATATCACATATATTTCCCTTAGAGACTCGGTAAGATTTACCCCATGCACCATCATCGCAAAAATGTAGGATTCATCTAAAAGAGTATTGGTTTAAATATCATCTATAACAGTTCAATCCACTAGTGATATTGTCGATTTGAATTCTACACTTGTACAATTTTAAAATGTGTCACAATAAAAAGTACAACAAAAAAAAAACTAATTATCTATTAATTAAAAATGCTTAACACGTGTTGCCAAATAGTCTAATTTGCCTTTAATTGTAAACATGTTATTTAACATCATATGTGTGGTTATTGATTTGGTAATATCATCTATTTAACTTATCCTTTTATCAAATTGGTTGGTGTAGGTTTTGTTAGAAAGTGGCAAAGATAAAGACATGACAAGTCACGGGATGCCAAATCTTATTTATTTTTCAAGGGAAAAAAACACAAGTTCCCCTCATCATTTTAAAGCAGGTGCCCTCAATGCATTGGTAAGTAAAAAATCTCATCAATTTTACTTTACACAACAATTTTTATTCATAAAATTAAGGGAAAAGGATAAATATATCCCTCAACTTTGAGATACGTCATCGTTTAACAAATGATGCATATTTACCTTTTTATTAACAAATATATATTTACTAAATTAAAAATAATAATAATCATAAAATAAATTGTTAAATCTAAAAACATCATGTTAGCAGTGAGGGTATATATATACCATTTGTTTCGACGAACGATATATATACATTCTAAATAGCAAAATCGAGGAATATATTTGCTTCTTTTTCCCTAAAATATTATCGAATTGATTATTAATTTCTTCTTGTGTTAGCTTCGAGTATCGGGAATTATGACAAATGCACCAATAATATTGACACTTGATTGTGATATGTACTCTAATGATCCATCAACGCCACAACGGGCTTTATGTTACTTCTTGGACCAAACATTACGGCCCAATTTAGCTTACGTTCAGTTTCCTCAAACTTTTCATGGGCTTAACGAAGCAGATATTTATGCAAATGAGATAAAAGCCCTATTTTTTACTAATCCAATGGGCATGGATGGGCTTAATGGGCCTAATTATGTTGGAACTGGATGTTTTTTTCGTCGTCGGGCTTTTTATGGAACTCCATCTTCGTTCAAGCAGCCCGAAATTCCAGAACTTTTTCCAGATCATATTGTGAATAAGCCCATTAAGGCCCAAGAAATTTTGCGGCGAGTCCATTATGTAGCAAGTTGCAACTATGAGAGTGAAAGTATTTGGGGTTCCAAGGTGAGCTTTAGTTCACATTTTAAGTTGGTAAATGTAGAGTATAATTGCACTAGCAACTTGTTTTTCGTGGCAATTGGTTCGAATTTTCCACGTGATATATCTAGTATACATGGTATATTCGAACTCATTCCCATGAAAAAATTGTTGGTACTTGAGGAAATATGAGTATAATTGCACTAGCAACTTCTTCGTGGCAATCAGATCGTACTTGCCACATATGTTAGATCTTGTTGCCACGAAAAAGTTGCTATATTAAATCTCCTTTGCTATAAACTAACAATTTCAAAATTATGCAGATGGGGTTTAGGTATGGATCACTTGTTGAGGATTACTACACAGGTTATAGACTTCAATGTGAAGGTTGGAAATCAGTATTTTGCAATCCTAAAAGGCCTGCATTTTTAGGAGATATACCAATTTCTCTGTATGAGGTGGTCAGTCAAAACAAGAGATGGAATGTGGGCCTTCTTGAAGTTGCTCTCTCAAAATATAGCCCATTAACTTTTGGGGTTCAGTCCATGGGCCTTGTTATGGCCCATTGTTATTCTCACTATGCATTCTCTCCCATTTGGTCAATACCACTTACTCTATATGCCTTCATCCCTCAACTTACTCTTCTCAATGGGGTTACCATCTTTCCAAAGGTATGCATGCCCTTTTGATATATGACTCAGCATATTTAACGTTCAATTAATTAAGTTATGTGTTTCGGTTCCCTTTCATGTAGAAAATATATTATATTATCGTCATTTACAAAGTAACACTACATATATATATAGAGAGAGCATAGCACATGACTTAAGTGGTGGAACGACTAATCTTATGGTAAATTTGTGGATATTGACAAGCAGATGAATAAGAAGTCTAATTTATTTATTTTGAAGGTTTAATGTTCTTTTTATATCGATTTCAGGTTTCAGATCCTTGGTTTTTCTTGTATGTTTTTATGTTCCTCGGAGCGTATGGACAAGATTGCTTGGTTTTTATGTCTAATGAAGGGACATTTAAAAGGTGGTGGAGTGACCAAAGAATGTGGATGATAAGGGGATTAACATCTCACTTATTTGGAACAATTGAGTACTTAACTAAACACTTAGGCATATCGACACAAGGGTTCAACGTAACAAGCAAAGTAGTCGATAATGACCAAGGTAAAAGGTATCATCAAGGAATTTTCGAGTTTGGGGTTGTTTCGCCTATGTTTGTGATACTAGCAACTACATCAATCATCAATTTAGTAGCATTTCTCAAATCATTAGCACAAATTATCAACGGTGATCACAATTTGGATGGAATATTTATCCAAATGTTTATTGCTGGTTTTGTTGTTATAAATTGTTTGCCAATTTATGAAGCTATGGTTTTGAGAAATGATAAAGGAAGAATGCCTACAAGGGTCACTATTTTCTCAACATTTCTTGCTTGTACTCTCTATATGGCATTTGCTTTTCTTCTAGGAAATATTTAGCAAAACTTTGGGACTTTCTGGTATTGATCTTGTAGTCTTATTTCTTAGTTTAGTTAAGAGGCAATATTACATTTAGTTGAAATATTCAAGAATAAAAGGATTATAGAAATCTTATAGAATGTTGTAACTCTTTATATTTGGTGTATGTGAATCAAGTCTTGTTTTTTGGAGATTAATAAGTGATTTTTTTTCAAATTTTGATTTTCTATATCTACAAAAAGAAATTCCGTCCATGTTCTAACAAAATTTCAATTTCATTCTTTCGGTCATATGTCTTATCAAAACTAAAAAAAGATTGTCATATTTAATGTCATTCTAAAGTTGTATCTATAAACTATATACTCTAATATGCAACACTTTTGTGTGCCTTACAAATTCCAAGAAATGCAACAAAACTAGGCAGTCCTTCAAATTCTCCTTTTCTTTAAAAGGAAAACTTGGATCATTTCTCGATTTGTGTGAGTCATCTTTGTGCAGGGACCACACAGATCTTCTCTGTATCATTTCAATTTTATCTGCGATTGACATTCATGTGTCAGGAGCCTTATCAATGTTGATAACATGAGTTTCTACATTTGAAAAATCTCTCTCAATATTGTCAACAATGCTAGATGATGAGCTACTAGCACTAGACAATTCTTCAACTATCACCACCACATGTTGCTCATGCTCCTCTCTACTAACCGTTATATCGTGGTGTTCCCTCTCCTCCTCGATGACACTCGAAGGGTTGTTATTAGAAGGTGGTTGTTGTGGAGGTTGCGGTTTTTTGTTGGTAACAAGGACATGGCATCGACAGAGTGGACAAGAGAAATTTGAACGAAGCCAATGGCGTATGCATTCAACATGAAAAATGTGCTTACAAGAAGGTAGTTGGTGTAACTCCTCTTTGATCTCAAATTCTCCCAAACAAACACAACACCTGTGAAATTTTTCGTCGTAATGTTAGTAAATAACAATACAACAACAACGTCTCAGTCCCAAACTAGTTGGGGTCGACTATATATATGAATCCTCTCTGTTTCATTTTAGTATAGAATGACAAGTAAAACAGATTTCTTGAAGTAGACTTTTTTACCATAACTAGTTTTACTTCTTTTTATTTCACATAGATTTCAGGGGCAAAAGCTTTTTCGAGACCAACCCTAACAATATCTAGATTGAAATGAAGTTATAGTTAGACCCCACATCCGCTTTCTTGGAACTAACTGATAGGCATTTAGTTTTTTGTAGAACAAGTGGAAAATGATGTGCAACTTTAATCGAGGTTAAAAGGTAGAGCACAAAAGCCCTCCACCCCACCAAAAAGTAAAATACTTGGTGCTTGCCCGTGACATATATGGCATGCTTTTCGTGGTAACTATGAAATAGATGTCAGACTCAATTCATCAGGAACCGGAAGGATACAACATCACTCTCGGAAAAAAAGACGAGAGAATCCTCCCTTTAATTTTGACTATCAGGACTTGACGGGCCACTTCATAGGACGGGCGGAAAAAACATGAATTTGACAAGTAACACAAACAAAAATTTTAAAGTTATAACTTACTGAGAATCCTTCATCATTGAATCTTCATCAAATAGTATAACAGGAAGCTTATAAGTCTTGAGCATCCCCTTTACATCTACGTTACCCTACAAAACAAGAAAACTTTTCATGGTTTCTTGAAAAAACATGAAAAATTCAAAGCTACGTTGTTTAGACTCTCCAAAAACGCTCTTTTACTCATGTTACATCCTTCAAAAAATAACACTACTATTTTAAGAGGATCTAACATATCAGTCAATATTTTTGAAGAGTCTGAACAGAAAAAGAAATCAAGAAGAGAAACTAACATGAATAATAACTTGATTTGAACTTCTTGGAAGTATAACAAGAGGGGAATTAGAACCAATAGAAGCTCTTCTTTTGAGATAAAACAAGTAAAACAAAAGAAACAAGATTATAGAAAAAAGTATTGGAATTGAAAAAATGAAAGCTTGATAAAGTTTAAGTTGAAGTGCTTGAGGATACAAATGAGGTGGACTAGGAGATTCAGGTACCCCCATTGAATTATTTTTTTAAGTAGACACTTAAAACTAAGTTTAATGAAACAAAAAAAAAGAAGAAAGATTATAAGTTATAAGCTTAATATGTATACATAAACCTTAGCTTATATAGCTTTTATATGCATATCAAGATCAAGAAAATGATAACAAAGGGTGAAAAAAGGATGTTTTTAATTGAGATTTGAAAAATGTGAAGTGCTTTTTTGGAATCAAATTAAGTGATGAAAATTGTATGATTACTTTATTTACACTTTTTAATTGATGTGACTTGTTCATAACTTCCCACTAAGATTTTTTTAAATATATAAAAACGAAAAGGTCCCTCATTCCACTCTCTCATGTTTTCTAAATTTTTTTAGCACAAGGTTCAATCATAGTTCTCCCACTGGGAACAGATAAATAATATGATAATTATAAACTTTGTCACTTACCTTATCGATATATCATTTGAAAATCATAGGATTGCATAGTGTTCCAAATATCTTAATTTTACCTAATGTTACATTAGGGACCATTCATTCTCTTGTTGCTAGTCCGTCCTCTCGTAATTTCTGATTTTAATTTTAATAACATTTAAAATAAAGTAAATTTCATGATGTCAAAATATTTTGATTAAAAAATTAAGACTTACCCACTACTTCATCGATCCGTTATACTTCAAAGAACAACTTTCACATATAGCAAACATAAAAATCATATTTGTATGTTATAGCTATAGTTTGCATAATTGCGCTCCATAACAAATTTTATGTTTGCTATGGAGCTTTTGATTTGTATAATTCGCTAGATACATCCAATTTTATACAAATTGTTCAGTTTTGTATAAATTAATTTATACATTGTAATTTGTATAATAAGATTTGTATTTGTATAATTATAAGTGTATAGGACGCAAATATATGAATTTATATTTGTATATACACTTTTCTCTCGCTTTATACAAACACAAACGTATTTTGTACATTTTATACATGTGTATACCGAATAGGTAATTGTATACCGAAAATGGCTAATTGTATACCGAACCAGATGACAAAAAGGGATATTTGCTGCGAATTACAAATAAGATAAACTATGACTATAACATTTAATTTGAATTAATAATTTGCTATTTCATACAATTTTCCCTATTTGAAATTAGAACTTTGTTAGGATCAAAAAACAAATACGATAGTAACTAATTATCGATAAAAGTATAAATAGTTCTTAAGTATAAAAGAGGGTGAAATTAAGATATAGATGTAATTCAATTATTATCTTTACACTTTTCACTAAAGTAAAAACAAATATCTGTCTTTCTTACAAGTCATTTCACTTTTGACAAGACTCCCACACAAAACAAGTTTTTTTTATTTATGATTTGTTTAGAAAGTTTGATAATCAATCAACTTCATTAGATAGTCATTAAGATGGTGAGCACTAATCAGATAAGCTTGACAACTTTCAAAATCTCATTGGAAATGGAAGATAAAAAAGTCTTTTTTATATAAAGTTAAGCTCGTTTAATTTGGTCAAGCTTTTCAGAAATCTAAAATATTTTTTTATTTATTTAAAAATATTTAATTTAAAAAAATCGAGATAATTAGTTTTAGTTTTGGTGAAAACAAGAATTTTTGTTGATTATAGAGAGCCTGAGCAAGTACCTTATTGAAAAGCGTATATAACTTACACTCAATAATTTTCTTTTGAAGAAATTATCTTTAATTGAGTACTTCCTAATAACTTATGTTTAGCCAAGCTTACAGAATATTGAAAATATACTTTTGAACAGTAGTGATTTATATTTAACTAATTAATTAGAATAACATTTTGTGCTTGATTAAATCCCTTTAAAAAAGCTACTTGCTTCTCAAAAATACTTGTTTGTTTTCTCTAAAAGTGTCACATGAAAATAAATTATTTATTTTTATCTAAATTCTAATCTAGGGTGGGCGTTCGATTTTTCGGTTCGGTTTAATCAAATTTCAGTTCGGTTTTAGAAAAGTGTGCACCATATTTCATACCAAACTAGATCCGTTCGGCTCGATATTTTCTACTTCGGATCGGTTTAGTTCGGTGTTTTTAAATCGGTTTTTCGATGTGAATAAAAATAAAGAGGGAATATGATAAAGTGTTAAGAGTTTCATGTGTTTAATTTATAATTAAGAAGACGTTGCATAGATGATTCTTTAACTAGAAGAATTCAAATTTTATTTCTGTTTCTAGCAAAGATGCCAAAGAATTTGTTAATTAGATGGATTATTCACCCTCCTATGTTGCTACAGAGATGACCAACTAAATATACAACGACAGAATCAACAAACATATGCAGATAAATGGTAAAGAGCACACAACAATTATCTTTACTCACAAAACAAGGTCTACAAAGACTTGTCCGCACATTTTTTTTTTAAAAAGCACACAACACCATCAAACGGCACTATCTCTTTGGATACACGATTCAACACATTCAAAACATAGACTTTAGGTCTTTAGGGTTTACACTTTACTGATTTGTCATTTAAAAATTGAAATGGGCTAGGTAAATATTTTGAGTCAAAATATATAAGTATTATTAAGTAATATAATTTAAATATTTTTAAATTTATTTAATAAAACTTCGATCCTTCGGTGCACCGTAGTTTTGGGACCCTTACACCGAACTCCGAACCAAAGTTCCGAAAATAAAGAGCTGACACCGAACCGAAACACCAAAGAACCAAAATAGTTCGATTCGATTTTATTTTTTGATTTTTCGATATTTATGCCCACCCCTAATCTAAACATTTGGAATTTATTCCGTTTGGCATCAACAAAATGAGTGGTTCTTCCACAAACTACACTCAAAAGTGTTTTTTTTTTCTTCACATAAATGAACTTTTTCTTATCTAGAAAATACCTAGCAATATATTTTTAGTACTACTATACTATAGTGGCCCCTACAACATGCATAGATTCATATGCTCCTATCACTTGTTGTTGATTACCATAAAAAGGGGTCCATCCATAACTCTTGAAATGTCATATCATATTTGCACTCTCCATCCACCAAAGCAAGGGATATCCTCAAATAATAATAATAATAATAAAACTAATAACTACGTTTTAATTCCAAATTAAATAGAATTTTATAACCATTTTTACTATATTCATGTCGACTTTAGAATATTTATCATAGTTACACTACCTTTATGTTGATGGATAGATAACTTGATATAACTACTGATGAAAGATAACATATATTCGATAAAATAGTTGAAATGTGTGTAAATTGACGTGAATATTACCGTATTCCAAAAAGGAAAAAGAACACTAGTAGTGTATAGGAGATTGACCTTTAAGTCAAGCCAAAGGATTAAAACAAAAGGATTCAATTTAATCATGTGATCATAAAGTAATTCAACTTTACAGATATGAAGACAAGTTTAACAATTGTTAAGAGACTTATATGCATTAGTGGAAGATCTTGTTTCCTGGTAATGAGCATTAGCCGTTGATGACGGGTTGATCACTTACATTAATTAACTAATTTAAATTAGCAAATTATTGTTAAGAAATATCTTCTCTATACCCTAATGTAAATTTGACTCTACTAGTGAGAACGCAGTGTCTGAATCAACTTGTGTAAATTTCAATTTTTTGTTGCATACTTACTATCTTTATACAAGTTTCATTGAGTAACTGCTCTACTTACATTTAGTGGTGAATGCAGAATTTCCATGAAGAGGATTTATTATATATCTCTTTCTGAATAGCGTAGGATTTCTAAATCTTAAGAACCGGAAATCGTTGCCATGAGCCTTGTAGATGGGCCAGGTTAGCCGGCTCAATTATCTAGACAAGTGGGAGGCTAGCTCCAGCCTCCATGTATGCTCCAAATAATTTTACTTATCAAAGACTTAAGGATACGAGAATTGATACTCCATTCACTATGATTTAGATAATCTAGGAAAAGTCATTGAATATCTAATTTTTTTATTATTTTCATCCCACTTTATTAATAGTTAAACTTAAGACCTTTGGATATAATTAACCAACTTGCTCTTTTTTTTACGTCTCCATTTACTAGTATATGCTCTTTATGTCTCCATTTACTAGTTTTAAATTTATAACTAATCCTTTTCCAACAACTTTACAAAGATACAATCTCACTTAATGTGGGCATTTTCTTGGAATAAATTCATGTTTATTGTTTGTGGGGTGGAAAAAGATCCTCATAATTTCCCTAATCTTTCTATCAAAGTGGGAATTGAGGTCATCCTCAAACTACACCATTAAATCAGATTCTCAAGATTTTCCATAAAGCAAAAAAAAAATATTAAACTTATCTAGCATATAAAGTAATCTGACTTTGGAAAAATTCTTAGCAATCAACATAAAATGACTATTTTATGACATATATGTTAAGGTGGAAGCCAACAGTGTTGTCTTAACGCAATCAATACAAAATTTTGAACCAAATGTCTACATCATAACCCACAAAAATGGTCAGCCTTGCTTTTGGAAGCAACAAAAAGCAAGAAAATGTTGACCAATAGTTGGTCCTAATACTGTCCAATATACAAACCAACCACCAAACTTAAAAAGGACATTGGTGAAGTATAAGCCCCGGTGAAAGACAAAGGTGGAAAGTGAAGCGAGCTAGTAGCTACAACGATTCCCCGGAGGGGAAGTCAAAACTAATGTTCAGGCAAAAATATCGGCAACAATATGTTGAATTGGCAGGTTAGTTGATGAAGAAGTTGGGAAGGTACCAGCTGCCTGTGTGGTGTTAAACCAAGATGTTAAAGAGAGGGAAGGGGAAATCGTGAACTATGAGATCAATCCAACTTTCACACATCTCAACTAATTCCACGTGGTACCATCTACCTCCCATAAGCAACAATAACATATCCAATGAAATTCCACTAATTGAGGTTTAGGCAGGGTAGAGTGTACATAGACCTTATCACTACCTCGTGGAGATAGAGAGGTTGTTTCCAAAAGACTCTCGCCTCAAGCACAAGTACTAAATAACTCTCCAAATGGGAAGAAACGACCTGGTGTTTCTCAACCCATTTCATTGTCCATTAGGTCACACTGTTGGGTTACATTAGTCCACCTTCTCATGTTAAAAATTCTCTATAATAATTCAGAGAAATGGTAATCTGACTTGACAACCAAAGATATCAGAAAAGTAAAAATGAAGGTAATC